GGGGTGAGGATTTTCCTTGCATGGATTTTGCGTGTGCCGCGTCACGACCTCATATTTCACCCATTGCGGAGGCCCCCTCACTTCGATCTTACCCCTTGTAAAGGAGCGGCCGCACACTGCTCGGTACCCCCTCTGCACATATCTAAAGTCATGGCCGACCCCCCCCCCCCAGCAGCAGCGCTCTGCTGCTGGGGGGGTCGGGACCCCCCCCCAGCAGGAGCGCTCTGCTGCTGGGGGGGTCGGGACCCCCCCCCCAGCAGCAGCGCTCTGCTGCTAGGGGGTGCTGGCATCTCTGTACCGACAGCTGTAAGTAAGTACGGTTAGCGTTCCAGTCGTCGGCGAGGTGCTGGATATTAAACGGCTTGAGGGAGAGCCGCATGGCTTCCACCACGTCGCTGCCCGCCATTGCGGCGACGCGTCGCGGCGGACCTGACAGTTTTGCCGCGCGACGGGCCGCGCGCGCGTTTCGAAAAAAGAAAAGTCGTTAAGCTCAGTCGATCGATTTCGACGAGCGAGCGATCCGAGGATCGAGCGGGGGACCGATAGGCTAGAGAGATCAACGCTGATCGATCATCGTCAGCCGAGACGCCCGAGTGAGTGGCTCACTACACGGCTTTTAGTGTGGTAGTACAAGATAGACTCACATGGTCACAAGTCTTTAGTAAAACGCCAGCACTCGACACGACGAAGGTGTATTGGGCTCGAAGGCGCGGTGAACACAGCCGCCTCGAGCGTACCGCTAAAACACGAGCCCAGGTGGGAGGGGGCGGCGGCGGCCAAAAAGCGGGAGCCGGGAGAGCTGGGTCCAATTCCCTCTGCTGCTGGGGGGGTCCGGACCCCCCCCCCCCCCAGCAGCAGCGCTCTGCTGCTGGGGGGGTCAGACCCCCCCCCTAGCAGCAGGGATGACTTTAGATGTGCAGGGGGGTACCGAGCAATTTGCGGCCGCTCCAAGGGGGCCAAGGAGGCGGCGCGGGGAAGCAGCATCAGGTGAGAGCAGGAAGGATGGCGCTTAGGGTCGGCTTTGAACAAGGGTTTCCAGGTTTTAGATCAGTATTGGTGTCGGCACACATCCCCACATGAGGTCAGCGGCGCGCAGTGCCTCTCTCGCAGGCGCTGATTTTGGCTGTTTTCGAGCTTGTTTTTGTTTTCAGACTAGGGGGCCCGACCCCCTCAGAGGCGGCGGGCGGGCGCCCACAGACCGAGGGATCAAAAACGCTCGGCCATGACAGGAACGCGGTGTCATGATGCTGGTATATTCATTTTGCGCGATGGGCATATGTCCAACTTCCAGTTTTTTCCCACACGCACACCCTCGACGACACCCGCTGCCGCAGCCGCATCCCCGCCCGCGGATTGGGCGATATTGG